GGGACAGACGAGCCGTTTTGTGTCTATGAACCAAGAGATGGTGCGTGGGTCTCCAACACGGTGTCTTTCTAAGAAGATATTTATTTCTACAATAATTTTGCTCATATCCAATTTTCCATGTACACTTTGACTTTGGAGCCTAATCCTAGTTTTAGAACTTTCTTCAATAAATGTTTGTTAAATGGTGAATGAATTGTGTACTTCTCACGTGTAAACGTTTTCTCTTAGTGAACAGCAAAGTGCTTGATGTAAATGAGGTCCTCAATAGACGTGGGTTAAATTATTTATTGCAAATATTTATTCTGGTTCTGTGTATTATTAGAACAGAGTATTGTAAATATTTTCTTTTTTAATAGATTTCTAAGTGCCTGTACTATGAGCCACCGAATAATACTGTGTACTCTTTGGGGCCTGGGTAAAGTGACTGCTCATTCAATGTGGGTTTTGCGAGGCAAGTTAGAACTTGTAGAAAAGTATATTTACATCGTAGTATTTGGGAAAACTTTGGACCCATTTCTTCCTTTCAGTACTTGCATAAATCCCTGCATTCTGCCTGTGCCTCTCTCTCTGTCTCTCTGTCTTTGGTGAATTATCATTAGAATATTATTAAAGTAATACATGCTCTTGGTAAACAGTAAATAAAGGTATAAAAGTTCTCTGAACTCTTCCACCTCCACACATAATTTCGCACTCTCCAAAAATAACCATCACTAACATTTTTTTGTGTATCTTTCCTCAAATATTGTGTATTTACAAACATACATGAATATGCATGTATATTTACATGTACATGTATGTTTGAAACAAATAGGATCATATTACTCCTATTCTGCAACAGGCTTTCACTTAATATATTTTGAAACTTTAAAAATATCAGCACATAAACCCTGGCTGGTGTGGCTCAGCAGATTGAGTGTCAGCCTATGAATTGAAGGGTCACTGGTTGGATTCCCGGTCAGGGCCCAGGCCTGGGTGTGGGCCAGGTCCCCAATGAGGGGTGTGCAAGAGGCAACCAGTTGATGTTTGATGTTTCTCTCACCTTGATGTTTTTCTTCCCCTCTTTCTCCCTCCCTCTGCTTCTCAAAATAAATAAAAATTAAAAAGATCAGCACATAATTATATAGCTTTCTTTTAAGCAAACTCTTAAATATGTATTCCAAAGTACAGATTTACAATTTAACTACTTCTTTTTGATGATTATCCTAGGTTCATTCTAAGATTTAGCATTACAAACAATGTTGCATATATATATGTCTTTGTACATATCATTCAGTTATATCTAAAGAGCAAGTGCTCAGCAGGGGAACTGCATGGTTTCCCTGAGCTTTGTTATCAACTGAAGGGTATATGTTTTCAGGATATATAGTGTTTATAGTTCATTGGAAGTTGCTAGTAAACACAGGGTCACCTGTATCTCCACAGCTTGTTTTGTCAAGAGACCTATGACAAAAGGAAAAGAGGCTTTGAAAGAAAGGTCTTTGTCTTGATTGTTAGCAGATCCTCCTTTTACCATCTGTGTTTCACTAATAATTAGCAGCCATCCATAACATCTTCTGACACTGAAGACAGCTGCTCTAAACACTAAAAGGGTCATCGCCATATTTAACTCAGAATTTAATCTAAGAAACTAATGTTTTTACAGTTCCGTGATTATCTTAAGATAGAACAATAATGCTAATATTTCCACTAAAAATTAGCTGGCTTGGCAGTAGTTTGCCCATTGCTTGCTACTGACCCATGCAACAAATATTTATTCTCTGCCTATTTCCCCAAAGGATTTGAGATGGCCTTCTCTGCAAGAACAAGTGCTTCAAAACTAAACACCATGAACAGAATAGAGGAAAAGAGGCAGGCAGTAAAAGGGAGACTGGGAGGAAATTATTTTTCCAAGAAACTAGCTTTAGAAAGGCCCAAAACTTACTTCCGACCTTCTTAGTAGACAAGATAAAGAGGCTGAGTTATAGAGCTTGCCATATTTTAACACAGAGGTTCTCAGTCCTATTAGACACTTTTAAAAAAATTCAACAAATATTTTGTAATGTCTTGTTGCTATCCTGATATGAGGATATCAGGTATGAGGCATACCTACCTATACTATGTAAAAATGAATATAAAGTCACAAGTCTAGCATATTAGAGAAATTAAAGGTAAGTAAAATAATACACATTTTAATATGTCCATGTATAGGCATGACTCTGCGGGAAGGCAGATGAAGTCACCGCATACTTACAGGGAGAATCACAGTGAGTGTAACAGCTACGAATGTAGCCTGGCTTACGTGTGTCGGCTGCTGAGCTGCCACCAGCCTCACTGGTTGTCGTGATACAGTTTCCTAAATCCTTAAAAAAAATAAAATTTTGCCCCAATTTACTTGGAATGGAATTCTTAGGAAATTAAATAATGTTAAATTGAGCAAAAACATCTTTGTATTTATACATAAAGTGGACTTTTTTCTAGGCTCATGAGCAGTCTTTTTTTTTTTTTTCTTAATGGAAGTCTGACAATATGTTAATAATGGTACAAAATGTGTAACAGTCTTCTCCACGAAGACCTGTCCTGTACACTGCAGGCCGTTGAGCACCCCTGGTTTCTGTTCACATTAAGTGCCAGCAGCTTGTCCCTCTCACCACCATGGTGATGCCCAAGCACTTTGGAAATCTGCTTGGTATTATCTGTCAAAATCAGCATTTGCTGGGTCCCAGTAATCTACTTCTAGTTATATACACATCAAAAATGAGTACATATGTGCATCAAAAGTTTTGTTCAAGAATGTTTGCAGGGAAATGCAAATTACAACCACAATGAGATATCTCCTGACACCTGTTGGAATGACTGTTATCAATAAATCAACCAATGACAAGTGTTGGGTGAGGCTGTGGAGAAAAGGGAAATCTCATGCACTGCTGGTAGGGATGCAGACTGGCGTAGCCACTGTGGAAAACAGTATGGAGTTTCCTCAAAAATTAAAAAATGAAACTGCCTTATGTCCCAGCGATTACACTTTTGGGAATATATCCAAAGAAACCCGAAACACTGGTTTGAAAGAATATGTGTGCCCCTATGTTCAATGCAGCACTATTTACAATAGCTAAGATTTGGAAGCAACCCAAGTGCCCATCAATAGATGAGTGGATACAAAAGCGGTGGTACATTTATCAATGGAATACTACTCAGCCATAAAAAAGGAGGAAATCTTACCTTTCAGGACAGCATGGACAGACCTAGAGGGTGTTAAGCTAAGTGAAATAAACCAGTCAGAGAAAGGCAAATAACGCGTGATTTCACTTATATGTGGAATCTAATGAACAAAATAAACAAAATAGAATCTGATTCATAGATACAGAGAACAGACTGACAGCTGTCAGAGGGGAGAGGGGCCAGAGGGCTGGGTGAAATAGGTGAAGCGATTAAGCAAAAACAAAACCAAACCTCATAGACTCAGACCCCAGTATGTTGATTACAAGAGGGAAAGGGGGGTGGAGGCAGGTAGAAGAGGGGAAATAGGGGGTAAATGATGAGGGAAGGAGACTAAGGATGGTGAACACAATACAATATACAGATGATGTGTTATAAAATTGTCCACTTGGAACCTCTATAATTAACCAATGTAACCCCAATAAATTCAATAAAAAAGAATGCTTGCAGCAACATTATTTTTCTAAACTTTCCTGAGGATATGTTTTCATGGATTTTAGAGAAGAGGGAGGGGGGCAGAGAGAGAGGGTGAGAAACATCAGTATGAGAGAGAAACATTGATGGGTTGCCTGTACGTGCCCTGACATCGAACCTGCAAACTTTTGGTCTAGGAGATGATGCCCCAACCAACTGGGCCACCCAGCCAGGGAGCAACATTATTCTTCATAGCCCCAAGCGGAAACAATTCAAATGTCTCCTTAACAATAGAATGGATTAAAAAAATTGTGACATAGTCATGCAGAGGAATAATATGCAACAGCAAATATGAACAAATTGTTACTACAGAAACCATGGAGGACTCTCACAAAAAATGTTGAGTGACAGAGCCACACACAAAAGAATACATACTATATAATTCTAAAAGTTCAAATACAGGCAAAACGAGTGTATAGTATTATTTGGCATAATGTCTGGAGAGGGAATGAGATGCGCTTCTGTGCTACTGAGAGAATCCCAGTGGGGTGGGGTTTACATGTGTGTTCACTTTGTGATAATCCATTATCAGCAGAGGGAGAGTAAAAAAAACCATTCCAAAGGATGAGGTTCATAAAGTGTACAGGGAGTGAAAAAAGTGACTGTAATTTTAAGAAGGGCAACCTCCTCCCCAGTCCTCTAGTCCTTCATTTCCTAGGAGGGGAGCCCAGGAAAAACCAAATCTGAGAAACAGATTCCAGCTCAAACTTAAACCCTCAAACAGATCAGGAGATTGAAATGTCCATCACCCGGGACAAAAGGTGTTCCCAGATTTGTATAAGGTGACTGCAGAAGTGACTGAGTCTTTTTGCTGCCCTGGGTAAGAGGGAAAGGGAAAAACAAAAAACATCTAAGTTAACTTCCCAACCTCGCTCTCTGGAGCTCCTGAAATCACGCGGACAACCTGGGGCCCACCTTAGGGGGCGGACCAAGGCCTTAGCAACGGAACGACCCTTTGTTGCGTTGCAGCCGCGCGCCCCTCCCCACCCTAGGCTGGCCGGCTCGGCGCCCGGGTTCACTCTCTCACGGGCCTCTCAGTGGCGCGCAGTGCTTGGATTTATTTGCACACTCTGATTCTGGTGCCATTCAGCTCTCGGGTTTCCTGCGGTGGGAGCTGCCAGGGAGAGCCCGAGCTGGGGGAGAAACAGCGAGAAAAAAGGTTTAAGAAGCAAAAATTTCAATATTTGCTATTTGTTTTCATTTAAAGATCATCCAGAGCTCCGAGGAGAGGGGCCTGGAGGGTGGGAAAAATCACTTTTGTATGAGCTCCATATAAAGAAAGCAGAAAAAGGACCGTTGAGGACCGAGCAAGAGACAGCTGGGGACTGGAGATGTTGGACACCTTCGTCCCTTCCCTACAGGACCTGGGCAGGAATGTGTTGCCCACGCTGCCCTTGCTGAGCCAGGACGGTAAGCTACTTGAGGTGGGGGCCCTGGGGCTGAACCTTTATCTGCTTGAGGGCCGAAGTGGAAGACCTTCCTCTCTATCCGCTGGGGTGGCCGTGTCGACCAGCTGGTAATCACATCAAGCTCAGGCTGGATGCTTAATGATTGCCTTCATAAGGGGCAGGGCCAACCGAGGGTTTTGATTGAACAAGATAATATATGCATAGCGCTTAGCTCCAGGACTAGCACAAAGTAAATAAATGCTCAGTAAATGTTAGCTTATTACAACACCCCCAAACGGCTCTTTCTCAGAGTTCAGGCAAAAACACAGCTACTTTGGTTGCCCTTGATATTTTGGGGTTGTGTTAAGAAGGTGAGATGGTCATAAAAAGAAGTGGGTGTTTGAAAGAAGACCTAACAGCTTTTCATAGGAAACTTACTAGGCTTGGTTAAAAGCATAGTTTCTTAGAAGAGTCACCCCAGTGTGACACTGAGATCGGTCTGTGAGAGACAGGAGCCCTTGAGAAGAAAAGTGCTCGGAAATGGAAGCTGCCGTTACTGTCAATTCACCGTGACCTAGAGAAGTTGCCTCGGCTTTCACCAAATGCTTCCGGGAGACAAATAAATGAGTAGATGCATCTTCTTTCTCTTTTTCTCTGCATCACTCCTATTCTTCCCTGTTAACATAATTCTAAAAGAAACATCAAAGATAATGGTTTTATGGATTTAAAAAATATCTGCCATATTTATAAATTTTAGAATGTGCTATGTGCTTGCTGGGCGCTAGAGAACTGATGGTGAGCAAAAACCTTAGAACTTACAGTCTACTGGGGAAAGATACACGTTCAGTAAATACAGAAATTAATATAAACTTACACTTAGTAAGTGGTCACCAGTGTCAGAGCTGACTGAGGGGTCAGATAGGTGAAAGAAGTCTGTTGATTTTATTGATAAGGAGGCCATTGGTGACTTCAGTAAGAGCTCTTTGTTGGTTGAATGACAGAAGCAGAAATCAAACTACTACCTATTAACTTTTGCCAATGACCATTGTTAAGGAGGTGAGGAACTCCCAACATCAGAAAAACACATAAACTAACTTTCCACAATTGTATACATGAAGTCCCACTGCTTCTGTATGTTTCACCACCAAAGTTTAATGTTATGTAATTACAGTATGTAGAAGGTCCCATCATCATTTTACAGATGTGTACTGGATGAAACTATTGAAGACTATGGAGGCAGGAAGGTCTTCAGACATGCAGCACACTGATCTTCCCACTGCATTATGCTCTGGAAACACATTTTTGTTTTTGTTTTTGTTTTCAGATTTCTCAGTAATGATTTGTTCTGTTTGTATACCAGTATTTTAATTTTATAAAATCTTTTATAAAGTCAGGGAACTTATTTTTCATTTTTGATATTAACATCTATTTCAAGCATTTATGTCATTCTATAATTCACACACTGGGTACTTAATTCTTTTCTATAATGATCACATATGAGAGTATTCCTGCAACTTGGTACTGTGTTTAAAATATAATTTCGAGTGCAAAAACTTTAGAACTGAATATAAACATTATTTCCTTATAATAGTGATTCTTGGTATTTCAGTATTTGATTAACATAATACCATTTCCTTAAAATAATAGAGTAGCATATTATTTAATTTGCTTTTTAGAGTGGATTAAAATTATTTTTGTTTTGAGATTTAGTGATAGCTTCTGTGATACTTTAGGATGTCAGAAAGATCAAAGTTAGAACTCACAGTGTGTAAAATTTCCAAATCTATTCTAATTGAATTACAAGGCTGAAAACTACCTAAAGGGGATGATTTGCATGTTTTCCTTCTTATTCAGTGAGAAATAGCAAAGTTCAGCTTAGAATGATAAACTCTGTTCTTATATAACTTTGCCTATTAGATTTTATAGAGTAAAACAACACAGTGGACTTAAATGTATCATATAAGTGAAGAAAGACTATCCTCAAATTCCCAATTGAACTCCATCAAGTCTTTTCACTAAGGTTTGGTTGCAGGCTATATAGTTTCTCCTGACCCTAATGAACTCATTTCCTTTCGGTGTAGATTGTTTTTCTGAAATTTGAGCTGCTTGTGAAGAGTCTAGGTGAAAGACTTAACAGTTTTGACCTAACTCTGAAAGGCCTCCGTGTAAATCTAGATACTGAGATTTTGTATTATTAATGAATTAATGAGGTTTTTGGTCATCATGATTTTAATTCAATGTATAGTTGGGACTGGGTGAAAGAATATAGTTTTTAGCAGCCAGCAGTAGAATTACTTTGCGTATGGGGGCAGGGAGGAGTGGGGAAAATAATAGGATGGGAAGAATAAATACCTGATTATAGTCAACTGCATATCCATGATTCAGAGCGAAGGGCAGAATTTTGACCTTTGGCTCTCTGTACCATGCAGTCCTCAGTTTCTTGGTGAGTGAATAAGTTTACATCACCTGAGTTGTTCCTAGGTGACCATGAAAGTTACTTCTCATTGTCTAACTTGTCCCTTCCTTGGTACATTAATAAAAAAAATTATATTTATATTTTTATTAATGGATGTACTGGAATTAAGAGACTACAATTTCCCTGCTTTAGATAGTGGTTTAAGCCATCAGGAAAAAAAAAAAGTTATGCCAATAAATCAAGCAGTTCCCCAAGTGGGGAAATAATAGGTCTTTTGTTACCGATTTCATCTATGTCCCACAGTGGCAACCTGATAAATGTCACTGTTCTTGATTTTTAATCTGAGAATTAAATCATACTCTTTTGATTTGCAAGGAGTTCCTGACTGAAGAGTATCTTTAATACATGTGATTAGGCTTGGAATGGAGATGCCAACACAGATGTAATTTTTTATATTCTAAATATTAGTTATACTTAGGGTATACCTTCAAGTCACACATCAACACTTCAGTTATTGATAACTTATTTTTCTACCACAGTGTTCTTGAAACACAGCTCAGAACAAGAAAATAAATTAGAAAGTCTCCCTCTGATCATTCAAAACAGAGAGGGCAAAATATATGCACCGATTCAGTGTAAAGCGAAAGCCCCTAAAGGTCACTTCCCAAAGACCTGTCTTTAAAAATTAGTATTTTAGACATCTTCCTAAATCCTCTCACACAAGCAACTGCTAGCCTCAGCAGGCTCCCAGACCCTGTGCCTCTGGCTAAGTGGCTCCAGGCCCAGCACTAGCAGCAGCCAGCTTTGGATCGCAAATTGACTTTGCCTGGGAGCCTCTAAGCCCAGAACAAGTAACAGCCATATGCAGATTGCTTGGTAGCTCATGCTAGGTGGTCCTAGGCAGAAAACAGGTGGTGGCTGACCCTGGCCTACACAACTCTGGAAACCTCAGAGTCTGTGTATCCAGCGGACAGCTACAGACCGTGTCGGAGCACCACTGCCCTGCCCTTCACAGCTGATCCTTTATGGAGGGCGGAGGTTTGTGGTTGGGGTCACAGCCAGGTCTTGTTGCTGAGTGGCCTGTGCAAATCCCTCCCATAGACCTGCCAACAGCAACCAAGGCTCAACTATGAGAGGAGGGTGTACTCAGCCCACTAAAAGGATGCACCTTGAGCACCCTGCTTGGGTGATAGGGATGGCTATGCCACTGTTCCCTACTAGATGCCTACTACATTAGGCCACATTACCAAGACAGGGAGTCATAGCAGCTCTACCTAACACAGAAACAAACACAGTGAAGTTGCCAAAATGAGGAGACAAAGAAACGTGGCCCAAATGAAAGAACAGATCAAACTCCAGGAAAAGAACTAAATAAAATGGAGATGGGCAATCTATCAGACACAGAATTCAAAACACTTGTTATAAGAACGCGCAAGGAACTTGGAGAATATCAGAACAGCATAAAAATGGTCCACATAGAAATAAAGGAGACACTAATGGAAATAAAGAACAATTTACAGGGAATCAACAGTAGAGTAGATGAAGCTGAGAATCAAAACAATTATATGGAACATAAGGAAACATAAAACAACAAATCAGAACAACAAGAGAAAAAAAGAATACAAAAAAACGAGGATAGTGTTAGGAGGTGCTGAGACAACTTTAAGCGATCCAACATTTGCACCACATGGGTGCCAGAAGGAGAAGAGAAAGAACAAGAAATTGTAAGTCTGTGTGAAAAAATAATGAAAGAAAACTTCCCTAATTTGGTGAAGGTAATAGACATACAAGTCTAGGAATCACAGAGAGTCGCAAATGAGGGATGGTTGCAAATAGACCCACACCAAGACATTTCATAATTAAAATGCCATAGGTTAAAGATAAATAGACAATCTTAAATGCAGCAAGAGGAAAGCAGTTAGTTACCTACCGGAGAGTTCCCATAAGACTGTCAGCTGATTTCTCAGAAGAAACTTTGCAGGCTAGAAGGGATTGGCAAGAAATACTTAATATCATGAAAAGCAAGGACCTATCGCCAAGATTGCTCTACTTAGCAAAACTATCATTTAGAATCAAAGGGCAGATTAAGAGCTTCCCAGACAAGAAAACACTAATGTTCATCAAAGGAGTTCATCATTATAAAAACGTTATTAAAAGAAGAAGATCAAAACTATGAACAATAAAATGGCAATAAACACATACCTATTAACAATTGCATAAAAAAACAAACTAAGCAAATAAGAAGGACAGAGACTGAATCACGGATATGGAGAGCGTTTTGATGGGTGCCAGAGGGGAGGGAGGTTTGGGGGAATGGATGAAGAGGTGAGAGGATTAAGAATTACAAATAGGAAGTTACAGAATAGCCATGGGGATATAAAGTACAGTGTAGGAAAAGGAGTAGACAAAGAAGTTATATGCATAACCCATGGACATGAGCAAAGGTAAGGGAATTGATTGAGGGAGTGGGGGGTACTAGGTGGGACAAAGGGGAAAAATTGGGATAACTGGAACAGCATAGTCAAGAAGATATAATTTTAAAAAATACTATTTCTAGCCATAGTAATAGGATATTTGTTGAAATCAAGAACATAGGAGATCAGAAACAGTGAATAAGGACTGGGCAGGACGCCCGCAGAGCACTGGTAGTAGAGAAAAGGGAAAGTTGGTAGTCTAACAGTGACAAATGAGAATGAAGAGCCAAATCAAGGACTAATCAAAAATAAAAGTATAGAGACAGTTAATGTACAGGCAACAATCTTTCATGTCTTAGTGTCCCTTGGCTTTATGCCTGTGTTATAGAATGGTATAAGAATGAATGTTCACATTAGTCAGATGGCACATTTTGTTGAGTGGGTCATTAAGAAAGGGTAGATTATACTTAGTTAACTTTATAGCATAAAGGGAAATTTGTGACAGAGTTCCCCTTATTCTAGAAAGATTTTCTTCAAAAATTTATTGTAATTATATATATATATATATATATATATTTAATCCTCACCAGAAGATGTGTTTTTTACTGATTTTAAAGAGAGAGAAACATCAATGTGAGAGAAAAACATCGATCTGTTGTCTCCTGTATGTGTCCTGATTGGGAGTTGAACCGCAACCTTTTGGTGTACAGGATGGGGCTCCAACCAACTGAGGCACCTGGCCCGGGCTATAATTATTATGCTTTTTAATCACAGTTTTGGAACTTAAAGGAGTAAGCACTAGTTTACCCAGAAAATTAATTTTGGGAAATGCCATTATTTTCTATTAATTATAAATTAATTGGGATCCTCTATTTAATATTTATATTTTTATTTATTAGCAGTAAGATACTAACACATGAGTACTTAAATAAATGATTCTTGGTTTGTTTTGAATTACAGAGGTCTCTAATATTTGGGAGCATGTATCAGAATTTGTGGAACGACAGCTATCCCTACACAAGGTAGGGTTTATACTTTAATTTTAATGTAGGAGTCCAAAGAATCTTTTCATCTTAATCTCATGATTTTTCTGGGGGCAGGATAGCAGACTTTAGAGCTACCTAGTTTAACTTTCTGTCTTGCCATTTTATGATGATCACATTTAGGACTTGCAGATATTTGTATGTTCTGCTCTTTTAGTGATACACATGTGTGTGTGGAGAGGGACTAGATGAATTCTGTTTATCTGTGATCAGATAGTTCCTGGCTTAACTCTAGAAGGATATGATAATACTTCTTATTTTGCCTCGTTGAGGGAGTGGATTTTAATTGAAATATAAGAAGACAGTTAGGGATGAACTCAACTTGCCAAAAATGAGAAACTTTTCTCAGGGGTGGACTGTTTCCTCCTGACAGAGATTTGGGGAGTTTGGAGGGAGCAGGGAGGTTGTGAAACTTTTATACCCTACCCAGAGGTCCCTATGTGACAACCTTTAGGCTGAATTCATCCTTCAAACTAATTTTGTTTGCTCTGATCATTTGAATTAGTCATCACCACTTACAATTTGGAGAGCTTAATAAAACTTTGGATTTTTTTCCTCAGAAGTCAGATTTAATAATACTAGTTTTTCATTCCTGTATTTGCCACTTGGCTGGAGCTGACTATGGGCTGATCCTCTTTCGAGGGGGCATGCACTCTCTAGCTGCCACCTTCCCTGACTGCATACCTTTGCCCACGTGCTTGCATCCTTTTTTGGCCCCTGTAGGCATTTGAGTTTGTAAACCCTGATGTATGATATTTCCAGAGAGACAGAGAACCAGTTTGAGAACCCAAAGCATTTGTTTCTCTCCACTCGCCAAGATCACCACACTGCAGCATATGCCTTGGCACTGGGTTGTCAGATTTTAGGTAAGGGACATAAAGTTTAAGAGAAGGAATGAGAAAGCAGAGATTCTCATGACCCTTTAAATTCTCTCCCTCCAATGGCAAATGATTAAAATTTAAAATGTCCCACAATTTAGGACTTAGATATAGATTAAAAGCTGTTATGGCATCCCATACACATTTTCTTAGTTCTCACAGCCTTTGAACATCATGGAGATGAGGGATCTGATGTCACAAAAGCATCATGGATTGATATACTACATTTTATACTAAACTTACTATAGCTGTGGCTGTAACGCATTGTAGGATTATTGAATTTTTAAGGGTTATGATTAATTCTCCTAGTGTTTTTTTGGATAACAGTACTTAAGGATTGTTTTTCTTCACCCCTTTAGTAAAGTGCTATTTTTTTTTCCTTTCAGGGGGTTCAGATTCCAGGACTTGGAACTTTTACCTTCATGAGGCAAAAACTTGAGGTGGGAAACAACAAGTTTATTCTGTTTCAGAGGCCCGTATTTATCATGGCGGAGAAGTTAGTACAGCTGCACAGACTCAAACAAAACAAAGTGTATACTCCTGGTAAATACATTTAATATTTAAGATTTTCCCAGAGAGTGACTGTCCTGGCAATGAGAATGGCGGACAAAACTTGGTCCGTTGGGGTTTACTCTTCATGTGTTACCTTTGGCAGAGGGAGAGCTAAGGCAGAAACACAACACACAGTCGTCCTGCAGGCCATGGTAAACCTCCGTAGCTTAAGAGGCAGGCAGGCATGAGAAGACCTGTTGTGACGTCAAGGCAAATTTATATAAAAGCCATATCACGGTGTTGTACAGACTTTATTCATATTTCAGACCCTAAGAAATTAAACATGGTTATAAAGTAGAGAAGAATTACAGTCATTAATACAGAAAAAGATCAATAACTGTGTATCTATCATATATATCATCTAAGTTACTAAAATTTGAAAGTTAGGTTAATAATTCCATAGAGAGTAAATGAATAACTTGTATACGTTTCACACCCTAAAATCTTCCTCCCTCCCTGCCTTCCTTTCTCTCTTCCTTCTGCTAGTATTTATGGAGGACCACCGATGTGTCAGGCCTGGGTCCAGGTGCTTGAGATACAGTGGTAAATAAATGGACATGATGCCTGTTACAGGGGGCTTACCTTTCACCCTTAGTGTGTGGCCTTGGTGACACCTGCCCTGGGTACTCAGAGGCCTTTGGAGGGCTTTCTGCCTGATTTCTGGCTTTGTTTTTGATCTTTCTTACCATGTCCTTCCGCATCAGACTCATATGGATGAAGAGAGAGAGTGTCTACCTGCAACGTCAGCAGGTGAAAACATTGACACTCAACTTTGTGTTAAGTTTCCTGACAAATTTCAGGGTAACTTTCCATCAAAAAAGTATACTGAAGAAACATAAACTATATTTAGAATTCATTATGCATGTATTCAGTACAATGAATTTGATAGACTTTTCAGCCATTTTTGCCTATAGTGTTTTGACAGAAGAAATATCCTAATTCATCAAAAGTTTACAAAATGAAATAAAAATAAAGCCTATTTTTTTGGGCAGAAATATTTGTGCCTTAGAATTAGAGCTTATTTTTTGTTTGGTATCTTGTAATGTAGTCCAGAAAAGTAGTTGAGGTCTATAATGATTTTTTTTCATAAAGTTGAGAAAATGTCAGAATTAAATATATATGACTGAATTAGTTCACAAAAACATTTCTGTCCACAGTTTAGCTTTGGGATTATGATTCTTCATCATTAATTAACTAGATTTCTAACCAAGCATTATTGACATAGTCCATACTTTGAATAACTCAGAACCTAGCATGGGAGACAGATATATAAGCAAATGATACAAAATGGTTAAGTGCTATCAGAGCAGCTTTGATCACCACTGGGTCAAAGGCTAGAATTGTCTAACTCTGCTTGGGGAACGTTCAGGATGATAACATGTGAGGAGGTCTTAAAAGATGACAGGACTTTGCTTGTACAGAAGCTGTGGCAGATATTTCAGGAACAGTGTGGACAATCCAAAAGTCCTTATTCAGGCAAAAGTGAAGGCTGTCAAGGATGTCCGTGTGACCAGGGCACATGAATGTGCAGGCGAGTGGAGGGAGGTAAAACAAAAATGGTGGGTAGGGTTCAGTTGGGAGGGGCCTTAAATGATGTGATAAAGACTTTGGAATTCATCCGGTAGGCGCTGAGGAGCAATTGAAAGTGTTTGAGCAGGAGATTATCTGTACTGGTCCAGTTTTTATTCTAGAAAAATAGCTCTTTTAATTACAGGAGTTTGGTAAAATATGGTACAAACCTGGTGAAGGCAGCGGCACTCGGGGAAGATGAAGGAATCTACTCAAGAGACATTTCAGATGTAGGACTGATGGGGTTTGGTTACCAACTGAAGTATTGGGTAGCAAGAGGAAGGAAGGTATTTAGGATGACTCAGATTTCTTGGACAAAAGATGAGAACTCATGCCATTAACTGCCATAGGCAATGAAAGGGGAAAGGCAGGTATTTTGGCAAATAGAGTAATGAGTTTGCTTTTGGGCAATTTGAGATTTCTATAGAGATATTTAGGTAGAGATGATTCCAGAGCTCAGGAGAGGGGTAGAGATTAGAGATCAAGATTTGGATAAGTTTACCCAGGAGAGAATATAAAAGAGATAGAAAAGGAAGAATCCTGTAAAATAAGCAAGCCCCCATCTTATAAGAAATAGAAGAGGGAGGAAGCCAGCAAAAGAGACCAATGAGAAAGAAAATGGAGAATCAAGAGTGGCACTATGGATAGTAGAGAAGAGAGGCCATGGTTAACAGAAGTTAAAGTGAGGGCATGGCAGTAAGATTTGCAACATATCCATTGGCTTGTTTACCATGAGATGATAGTGCCCTTCCTGAGGTAAGTACAGCAGAAGACAGGTTGCAGAGAGGCATTGGGTAAATGGGAGGGAGAATCTAGAGGCAGACAATGTAGCTTTCTCTTTTAAGAAGTTTATTTTAAAAGATGGAATGGAGGGAGATGGTATAGACTCACCATTAATTGTGCAGGAGACAGTGGGCTAATACAGGGAAACTTGTGTCTTACAGAGTTGTTAATCGTTGCTGTCCAGCAGTATTGGACATTAATGCTTGCTGAATGATTGTTTAGAATGTGATCTTGTCTCTATCCTGTCCCTTTATCAGTGGGCCTTGTTTATGTCTTCTTTTGGATTTGTCATGTTGATCTTGCTGTTTACCCCGTTTCTGACTTGAGGACCTTGCATAGCTCTATAACTGTTCCAGCTGAGTAGACCCTGTGCTTCCTTCAAGCCAGGTGTGAGCATATTCCTTTGCAATGTCATTTATGGACTCGTTAAAGGGCAAAATCTTTCTGCAAGCTTATCCTCTGAAGAGACCCATTTTCATTTGAAAGGTAACGTCTAGTGAAGATGACTATCTTTTCAAAACACTTAATGTTTGTAGAGATGTATAATCATTTAAAAACCATATGATAACTGGAAGAGAGAGACATATATTGCTGCAGCATGTCTTGAAAGAGAAAGGGGCTGAAAAATTCAGAAAACCCTCTGATGACGAGGAGCGTTTCTCACTGGGTTGGCCAAAAAGTTTGTTTTGTTTTTTCTGTAAGATGGCTCTCTAGTAGTGCTTAGTTGTCTTTAACTTCAATTGAAACAATTTTGTTAGATTGTATTTTGACAGCTGCCATATCAGCGTGCATTTAAAAAACTTATCAAAATTGATGAATTATAAAATTATCAAAATGTGTAGCCATTTTAATATTGAAGATGGAAGAAATATGTGACATTTTTGGCATATTCTGCTTTATTATTTTAAGAAAGGTATAAATGCAACTGAAATACAAAAAAAGATTTGTGCAGCATATGGAGAAGATGCTGTGACTGATGTGGAACATGTTGAAAGTGGTTTGCGAAGTTTCTTCCTGGGGATTTCTCGTAGGACAATATTCCACAGTTGGGTAGGACAGCTGAAGTAGATAGCAATTAAATTGAAACGTTAATTGAGAGCAATCAACATTATACCAAACAGGAGATAGCCAACATACTCAAAATATCCAAATCAAAGTTAGTGGTAAAAATGAAAAATGGACTTTTCGGACAACCCAGTGCTATGTATCCACGAGAAAAATCTAAAGCTTGTTTGAAGTATAGCTTAGAAAACTAATTGTTCTTACTTTGAGCAAAAAACATTACATTTTTAGGAAAATTGTACTGATTAATAGGTATTAATAGCTAGTTCTTAGTTTTATTGGCTGTAACTAAAGGCTTCATATTGACAATTCTATTTTTGAGTATTGAGAAGCACATGAAGATTTCTAAGTGTATGTGATTTGTTGTAATTTCCACATCTTTCCCCCACCCCACTGTCTTTTTCTCCTCTAGGTGATATCCCAATTGTTCCACTTAATTTTGCGATGATATCCCTGCAGGGTTCATTTAACAGGGATACAGTGGAAGGATGTGTGAAGGAGACGTTGCTTTTTTTATCACGATCCATTTCCATCAAACAAAGTGTGGAGTTTACATTCAAAGGAATCGGGGTCCTCGTGATCAGAGACGGCAGGGTGAAGATGAGATTTTTGAAGGACTTCCTTTTTAAAATGGATGGAAGTGGTGCTCTGGCAAAAGCACTAGCAAATGTAAATTAATGTTTTCCTTCTCCTAACCTCTTTCCCCATTATAGCTCTGAATCACCTGTGTGTCTTCATTAAGGAAAATTCAGGTTGACATATTTTAAATGGCAGTTACCCCAAGTGCAAAGAAGTGCTTATGTATAGATGCTAACTCTTTGACAAAAAGTTTAGAAGGGAAAATGAACTTTAAGTTTTGAGTCAATACCAACTGAAAAATATAAATTGTAATAGAAACTGTTATAATTGTGAACATTTTATAGTACTTTATAGTTTAAAAAGTTATTCCACATATATTATTTCCTTTTATTATTATTTGAGACTATATTATAGTCTCAAAGCTCAAATGAACATAAAACCAGCATTTATCATCATCCTGATTTTACAAATAAGAGAAACAGGAGCTCAGACAGGTCTCTTGGGAAGCATGAAGGTGGGGTATTGATAAATAGTGGAACTGAAATTGAAGCCCAGGGTTTTTAATCACTCTTTTTTTTTTTCTGGTTATACTATTTTATTTTAATGAAAATCTACAATAAAATCAGAATCAAGTCATGGAGATGGATCTTTAGCTTTTAATTTGCCATGTTGTAGAAGAAATTTTATAATTGACCCACCATTGTTAACCATTAAGTAGCTGATGTGGCCATCATGTTAAGTTGTAAATAGAGTTTAAGGAGCCAATGAAATAATCAGTCAACAGGACTAATTGAATAGTGTGCTTTCTATGCATCTCTGGGAACTGAGTTGGTGTGAGTGAATTGCATTATCACAAATGTTAGATAACTCTGTGTCCCTCTAGAGCAAAAGCCCGACTTTTAAATGAAAAATCTATAAAATGAAAGGCTATAAATATGGCCTAAAATCTACCCTCTAACTTCTTTCATGGAGCAGACTTGGGAGATGGGGTTGCGCATAATGGGCCTTTAGTGTTTTCCCTGCAAGCGGCTTCATGCAGGATTGTTAAGAGGTCTGTCAAGCCTGTGTGTGGAAAGTGGAGACACACACAGCTACAGCCCTCTCTTTCCCATAAATATGCAAGGCAAGACCTGCAAAATTGGGCAAGGCCAAAGCGCTGGAAGGACTCTACAGAATTTTGTAGCTTTGACATGTGTTTAAAAGAGAGGATGACATTTTTAATTGACCAGCTGCACTCTAAGACATAATTTTTAAGGGGCGTTTTGCTAAAAGAACTAGTCCTGAGATTTAGTCTCTGAAAAACGGGGTTGGAGGCGAAAGCAGATGGGGAGCTGGTTGCATGTATCACACTTACGGACAGAGCATGTTGAGGGATCTGAGAAGTCTGGCTGCAAAGAAGCCACTTTAACTGCCTGAATGTATTTAATCAGGAAACTTTAGGTTAATCCAATACTCATTAACATCTCTAAAACACATTTTGAGAAACTGCTGTGAAGCGGTGAGAGTGATTGGTCTCCGTGGCCCCCACCCCACCCCGCAAATGTCTTGTTTCTTAACCGGAGCCCTGACCTGCTGACCTCGGAGTACTTCCCCTGGGAAGCTGTGTGCTTATTTCAGTGATGCTGCTTTTGCACAAAACATTTTAAAAACCTCTTTCTAGGAATTCCCTTCAAAGCTTTTTGGGAGTTATATCATTAATCCAAAAAGAATACTTTTATATATTATTCTATACTAGTATAATGTAATAGTGTGATTATTTTATAATGTAATGATAATTATAATAATTGCTATTTTCTGAGTGCTTACTATGGGCTGGCCACTTCCAAAGAGTATCTCATAAAAATCCTATAAATTAGACCCTATTATTATCCTCAGGTACCTGGGGTCTCCATAGCTGTTAGCAGTGTGGGAATTTGAGTATGAGTCCACCTGGATCCAAACCCTCCTTTTAAAATCCAAGGTGCAATATTAGAGTTATCTGAGTCCAGAGAGGAATTTGTCATTTTGCTCATCTTCCTGAGAGTTTCAGTAAGTTGGCTATCCTCTTAAAGATGTGTCCAGAAGCTGCCAATTCTGAGGGCAATTTCCAAAGAGGAAATGGTGTGAGGAAAGGCAGCATCATTGGCATTGTTATGTGACTACCCAGGGTGACTATTTTGGCAACTTAGATCATTCCTCCTTGGATTTGAAACTCTAAACTTTAAGCACTAAATAAAAACAACAATACGATAGAAAAAATAAAATAAAAATATAACAATAAAGATTATCACAGTAGCCTTGACTCTGAGATACCCTGTAGCTTTGATCTGTCTGTGTCCTGGACCGCAACCCAGGCGTCATCCTTCTCTGTCTCTGTCCCTCAGAGGCCTGGCACAGTGGACTCGGTGTTATCGAGCAGAGAGAACTTCAAGGGACAGACTAGCAATGTGCTTGCATTTCCGAGGTCAGTGATTTGGTTCACAGGCTCCTCCAGGCACCAGCAATCCGTGCCTTTCTAATTCAGCAGTGTTTCTCAGCCTTTAGTAGCTTGTGCTCTTTTTAGTAATAGACTTACCCCAAGCGTGCAGTGGGGTGGGTGTTACTGGTGGCTGCTGCTGACAATGATCATAATAACAACAGCAAATAATAAAACTAGTTAATATCTGTGAAGCCCTTCATAGATGCCAGGTACTATTAAGCACTTTCTAAATATTATTGTATTTAATCTTCACTACAACCATTTTAGGTATGTATTATAATTTTATCCATTTTATAGAGGTACAAAAATTAATTATAATTTTAATTTTTTTAACAAGTGTAACAACGTGGTGCAATATTAAGAACACTGGACTAAGAATCAGGAGACTTGGGTTTTACTTCCATTTTGGCCATCATTCACTCATGTGTGTTCTTAATCATGATATAAATATATATATAATATATATATATAATATATATATTTGTTGATTATGCTATTACAGTTGTCCCATTTTTTCCTCCCCTTTATTCCCCCCCACTCTGCGTCCGCCCCCCGCCCCCCCCCCGCCTTAGTTCATTTCCACAGGTTGTACATTTAAGTTCTTTGGCTTTTCCATTTCCTATACTCTTCCTAACCTCTTCCTGTCTATTTTGTATCTACTATTTATGCTGCTTATTCCCTGTACCTTTCCCCCCATTCCTCCCCCACCCTCTCCCCTCTGATCTACATTTCTATGATTCTGTTCCTGTTCTAGTTGTTTGCTTAGTTTTTTATTTTTAGGTTCAGTTGTTGATAGTTGTGAGTTTGTTGTCATTTTCCTGTTCATAGTTTTTGATCTTTTTTTCCTTAGATAAGTCCCTTCAACATTTCACTTAATAAGGACTTGGTGATGATGAACTCCTTTAACTTGATATTATCTGGGAAGCACTTTCTTTATCTGCCCTTTCATTCTAAATGATAGATTTGCTGGATAGAGTAATCTTGGATGCGGATCCTGGCTTTTCATGACTTTAAATACTTCTTGCCCAGCCCCTTCTTGCTGGCAAGGTTTCTTTTGAGAAAACAGCCGATAGTCTTATGGGAACTCCTTTGTAGGTAACTGTCTCCTTTTCTCTTGCTGCTTTTAAAATTCTCTCCTTATCTTAAATCTTGGGTAATGGAATTACGATGTGCCTTGGTGTGTCCTTCCTTGAGTTCCAACTTCTGTGGGACTCTGAGCTTCCTGGATCTCCTAGAAGTCTATTTCCTTGTTCCAATTGGGGAAGTTTTCCTTCATTATTTGTTCAAATAAGTTTTCAATTTCTTGTTCTTCCTCTTCTCCTTCTGGCACTCCTATGATTTAGATGTTGGAACATTTAACGTTGTCCCAGAGGTTCCTAAGCCTCTTCTCATTTTTTTTGAATTCTTATTTTTCATTCTCTTCTGGTTGAATGTTTATCTCTTCCTTCTGCTCTAAATCATTGATTTGAGTCCTGGTTTCCTTCCCTTTACTGTTGGTTCCCTGTATATTTTTCTTTATTTCACTTTGCATAGCCTTCACTTTTTCCTGCATTTTGCGACCATACTCCACCATTTCTGAGAGCACCCTGATTACTAGTGTTTTGAACTGTGCATCCGATAGGTTGGCTATCTCTTTGTCGCTTAGTTCTATTTTTGGAGATTTGATCTTTCATTTGGGCCAGATTTCTTTGTCTCAGCGCACCTGCTAGATTCGGAGGGGCAGAGCCTTAGGTATTCGCCAGGGCAGGACAACCCAGGTCACTGTGTTGTGATGCTTTATGTCAGGAAGGGGTCCAAGAGGGAAGAATGCCGCTTGCTCAGCTCTTGGCTGGCTTTCAGTCAGTTCCCCCATTACCCACAAGCAAATTGGGCCCTTCTAGTGCTGATTCATGGGTGGGTGGGTTTGTGTACGTTCTAGGACCCTTTAGGTCTCTCTAACTGACTCTCCTGTGAGGCAGGGAGATTCTCCTGCCACCGCAACCCCCACGACCGGAGCTTTTGAGGCTTTCTTTTCCTGCACTGGAACCCTGGATTGTGCAGTCTGTCTTGTTCCCCAACTGTTCCTCTGGTTTATCTGCACACAACCATGGGACGGCCTGGTCTGCCAGCTGCCACCTCATCTGCCTGGTCCTCTAGCTGCTGCCTTGCTGCGTGTCCTCTCTGCCTGATGCCCATTTCTGCCCCTCCCACTGGTCTGGATGAATGTTTTTTCTTTAACTCTTTGGTTGTTGGACTTCCATACAGTTTGATTTTCTAACAGTTCTGGTTATTTTTTGTTTTTAAATTTCTTGTCCTTTTTTTGGTTGTGCAAGGAGGAAAAGTGTATCTACCTATGCCTCCATCTTGGCCGGAAGTCCCTTAACCATGTTAATTTCTGTACCATTAACTAGGGTCCATTTCAGGTGGAGGAAGTTTAGGAAATAACAACCAGCTTCTAAGAATATTATTTTCTCATTATTTTTTTCAGTTGGTGACACTTTGTTTGTTGACTTGGAAGCACTTTTTCTTGGAAGGACTGTATGACACATTTCTCATCAAAATCAGTGTGAAGGCCAGAATAAGCCTTAGAGATTTTTTAGTCCAACCCCCTTGTCTTCCAGATGAAATGGTCACACAACTAATTAGTGGCCTAGCCAGAAATAAAGCTATGGCTCCTGACTGTCCCAGTGTTCTTGAATTGTACCAAATCACCTTACTCATTAAACATAAATCAATGAGTTAAAAATAATTTTATGATTATATTTTTGAAGGCAAACTTGGTTTTCCCCTTGGACATGTTTTGGATTATATTCCAGGAGGGAAATAATTACGGTCAGTCAAGGAAAATTAGAAATCTTAGAAATGGATGCAAGGACTCAAATACTTAAAACCGTTGTAGGTGTTTTATTGATTTGAAGTTTGGCCCCTGAATTTACTGGAAGTTTCCCATGCCCACCCCCACCCCCACCCAAACTTTAACCCAACACTCCATACCTGAGACCAAAGAAAATCTACGACTACACACACAAACGAAACACACCCCTTCTCCCATTGTGCCTTTGCAAGTCCCTCAGTTTTGCAGGGGAAAGGATGGAGAATGGGGAGAAGAAAGAATGAGGGGTGTAATGGTTATATCTGGGCATAGTCTGTTTCTGAGGCTGTGAATCCTTGCCTTCAAACTATCCAACAACCACCTTTTACTCTGTCACCCCTATGGCATCTGGTTACAGAACTGGTAAAGACAGGCAAATTCAAACTGAAACTAAAACGAACAACTTAAATCCAGGCCTTCAAAGCAATTTACACAAGGGCTGCTTTTGAGCCCTCAGTGTAGAGGGGGGAAGGTTTTGGTCAGCTCCCAGGCTTAGCCTCAAAGATAGTGGGTGAGTTGATGAACTGTATGTAGCAAACCAAAACACTCCCTGTCTTGAGAGAAGTGGGCTTATTTCAGAATGAGCAAGCTAGCTGGGCTGCTGCTCAGAATTGAGTGTTCACACAGTCACCTATTCAGGTCCAGATGGACAAACATCTTGGTTTGTTCCTAGGATTGAGCTTAAGGAGATGGAGAACAAACCACCTATGGAGACCATTGTAGAAGAAGGTGGAAAGAATGAGCCAAGAAAGTGCGAGTTAAAAGACGGGAGAGACAAAGGAGGTGTCAGAGGTATGCCAGTGGTATAATCTGTCACTCTTTCCTGCTTAATGAACCTAGCCATATTGCTTAGAAACTCCTATGCCCAGAGTAAATAAAGTTAGATTCATGAATAATCGCTTTATTCTTCTCTCAAACATCCCTATTCCTAGAATCTGTATCTCACCTTAACCACTTTATGACTCTTGGGCTCTTAGACTATGATCTCTTTGCTGGCTCCCCTAAAAGGGTCAAAATTCAGATGCTTACAGGGTCCAGGCAGATAACATAAATGTGTAAAATCGGTTGGATATAACATGATAGGGAGACATATTACCATAAATAATCATTTTTATGAAAAATGAAGAGTGGCAATTTTTCATCTTTGATATCTGGCTTAACAGAAGATAGTGGATTCTCATATCTGTGTTTCCATTTATCTGTTGTGATTCGTTGTTTCGGTTGAAGCATATGAAACAACCTAGAACTTCAAAGACTTTTCAAAGGGTCCTAGGGATCCATTCGCAGGGGTTGCCAGACTACCAGTTGAGGACTTCGTCTATCAGATTGTTGATTTGTGCAAATGTGAGCAAAGTGGTATCAATTTTTCTAATTTTTCAAGTGAAGCAGTGATCCTGCTATCTATTGCATTTAAATGTTGACAACAAATTGACCTTGAAACCAAAAAGGCCGATTGGACCAAACAAAACACATCAATGGGTAAAGATTGGTTTGTAGACATTGGTTTGTAACATGGCTTGCAGTATCACAGATACGCTTTTATAGTCACATGCTTTCACTTCCTTAGCCTTGTTTGTCACTGTTCCCTATAGACTCCTTCTTTGAGCAAAATTGTCTATTCATGTTCTAACATGCTTTCCCCTTCCCTGACCTCATGCTTTTGTTCGCTTTTTCCTTCTGCCTAGAATGCTCTTCCTTTTCTTACAATCTATCCTAGTCCTCCTCACCTCTTCGCACCTTTTTCACATCTCTTTTCCTTCATGAACACTTCTTTCATCACTGGATTCTGAAGTAGCTTCTCTCTTCCCTGAACATGTCAGACCCTTAAATACAACAGTGTTTTGGATTTAGACATTTTGCATTATTGTCCTGAGTTGCTATTTATGCAATGCATATGAAGTACTTAACATTGTTGGCATATAGTAAGACCTCCACAAATGGGAGTTCTCATGTCCTTTGTTTATAGCTTTTTTTTGAAAGATAGTTAAGGGTGAAGACTTGCCTCTTAGTATTTTCTAAAGTGCCCAGCCAGTGCTTTGCATGTCATAAGTATACAGCAAAAACATATACACAATGGGGCAAGAGTAGGTTTACAGTTGTTCTTACGGAAAATATTATAATAATCAATGATAATGAAAGAATAAACTCTGTTTCATTACTCACAACTGCAAACCTACTTTTGCTCCACCCTGTATTTTTAAACCACACTAGGGAGAAGGAAAATAAGTTAAAGATAAGAAAGTGTATCTTATGTGAAGATTTTCTCTGGTAAAATTATGAGTTTAAAGATCTGTGTTAAGTACAAAATACCCATTTAAAGGTGAAAGGAAACTCACTTACAATCATCCTGCAGAGATCTTATCACCCAAGAAACTTACAGATAGAAAAGCTGTCTCCTCTGACGAAGTGAAAGGCATCAACTTGCCAAATAAGTTCGAGCAGAGTGGGAGACAGGAGAAGAATAGGACCCCTGAAAGGTAATGCATTGGTATTTTTTTCTGTTACACTTTACTAAATATATTTTTGAGTCATTTCGTGATTCAGAGTATTTAATAAAATGTTTATTCATTCCTTTATCCAGTGTTCTTGAGTACATGCTATGTACTAGATGATGGGGATAAGAGAGACAGTCAGAGCTCACGATGCAGTGGAAAGACAGAAATACATAAAGCAATAAATTCAGTAGGTTAAATGTTATGACACAGGTGGAAACAAAATAGCACAGAGGAGGGAATATCTAACTTTCCTATGGATCTGGGTAAACTTCCCTTGCTATTTCCTAAGTGCTTGGATATTATGACTTGACGCAGTTTCATATTTAGATCAAATTAGAGCGCAGTTTTGCCATACATGGCTGGACTCACTAAATGCTCTTTGAGTGAATGAATATATTGCAACGTGTGATAGCTGTGTCTTTTTCTTGTTATGTCAAAAAAATTATATTTTCTCCTTTTCCCTTTGAGAGTAAGGATACTTTTTAAGACTTCAAGTCAGTCAACCATACTCAAGTATTTACTGAGTACTTTTAGTAAGGTACCTTGTACTGTGCTGTTACCTTTCAATTTATTAATGTGTCACAGTGGTATCAGCTCTCATGTGTGCAATTTATGTACTTTTTGGATTACTAAAGTCATGTGCCAACCCTGAGCATGCTTGTTTTAGACCTCAGTGTTATGAAATATAATTGAGAGTTAAATATTTAATACTTTGTAATTTACTTCAATCCAACAAACACTGAGCACCATCGTGTGCCTGGCAGTTTCCAATACAGACTGTACAGAGCTATAAGGCATATAAAAGACATATAAGCCTACTCTAATAAAATTTATAGTCTTGTAGGGGGACTGACACTAAGTAATGCACATGATAAAGACAACAAGAGAGGCTACAAGGAGGAGAAAGTAATTGTTGGGGATTGTTAGTGAAGGTTTCCTATAGAAGTTGACCAACAAATGTTCTTTGTGCTGATTACTAAAGAGATACATGTTTATCACAAACATTTTGAAAAAAATGAGAAAAAGCAAGAGATAAAAAAAGACCCATGATCCCACTAAATAGAGGAATCTTTGTTAACATTGTGATGTATGTTTTCCATTGTAATGCTTATACAATATATACATATATTTGCAACATATACACCCATTTTAAATAAAACTGAGATCATCTGAACCTTTGTTACACTTAACAATAAGTGGTTGAGCTCCTCATGGCTTTAACTGCTCCAGAACAGAAACAAATGATTGCATATCCTCTCTTTGGTTAAACCTTTTGCTTAATCAATCTTCTATTGGATATTTAGATGAGTTTTCATTTTTAAATAATGTTATCCTTGCACATTGAATACCTGAATATTGTACAGGATAAAAACTTTAAAGTGAAATTCCAGAGATAAGGGACAAGACCATTGGTTATGCCTTTGGTGCACATTACCAATTTTTCTCAAAAAGATTGTACCAAATTGCCTTTCTAGAAGGAATAATAGGAGGGACTGCTGTCTTCCCTACAGCTTTGCTAATATTGGACATTTTACCCTTAGTGGCTTCCCATTCTTACCCAGGGGAAAGGCCAAAGGCATTGTTATGGCCTGCGGGATCCTGCCTGATCTCTGACCTCCCTCTAGTTGCCCTGAGCACAGGCATGCGCCCACTTCAAGTACTTTGCACTCATTGACTCTGCCGAGGATGCCATTCCTCCAGCGTTGTGCGGCACTTATCACAGTCAGAAATACTATATAGTTCACTTATTTTTCTTGTTTATTGGCTGTCTGTCTATCCCCATCAGAATGTTGTTTTTTTTTGTGTGTATTTTGTTCTTCACTGCATCTCCCACGTTGAAAACAATGTACATAGTAAGCACTTAATAAATTGTTGTAGGATGAATAACTTTTATCCCCATTTCCCAGAACTAATAACTGAGGCTTTGCAAGACTACCCAGCTGGTGTAATGCCAGTTAGCCTGTAAGCAAAAACCCTTGGCAAACCCACGTGTACCTGACACAAAGCATAGGCTCTTAATCTCTACACATACAGATGCTTTGAAGAAAACCAGTGACATATTTATTCTTTATTTTATATTTACACTTGCCTCTAAAATTATCATTGCTCTAGATGTCACACCGTGTTAAATGTTCATTAATGTTGCATTGTTTTTATACCGTTTCATTTTCAAGGTGTCTGAAAAATGGCAATGAAATGAAACCTAAAATTTCTCCAGCCACCGCTTGCCAGGATCATAATAGGGCAGGACAGGTACAGTGTCTTCAAACAAACAAAACTTAATCAGAATCTTTCTTTGACTTCTGTTTCTCAGTGAGAGTTCTGGGAATCCCTTTTAATATATGGGCATGGCTCCTACACTCGGGACCTGAAATTGGACTGTGATAGATCTATCTACCAGTCAAAATCAACTAGTTAACAGAAATAGGGGTGGGAAATCTCTTACTAATTTTTAGTTGCTATAGATACTTCAATCTATTGAGTGAAAGTTCAGTAAATCCTCTTGCATATATGTGGGATTCACTTTGCAAATCTCATTTTGCCAATATGATACATCCAACCTTTGGAGAGCTTGTGAAGGCAAAAAAGTAAAAGGTAAAACTTAATTTGTCCTAAAACTTGCTATTGTAGGAGATGTGTTACGTATGTTTGCAACGAGCACAACGAAATTCCCCATTGTACTACAGTGAGGAGAGAAAGAGGAGAGAGGAGGAAGATGAGCGACTCCTACAGCAGTATCAGATGTTGAAAGACCAAGAGACTTTTGTCAAACACCAGGTAATTCAACACCTTGTTTAAAGAGTATTTAACATGGGTCAGTAGGACATGATTATAAAATACCATTTTAAAAGTTCCATCAGCCCTGACTGGTGTGGCTCAGTGGGTTGGGCATCATCCACAAACCAAAAGGATGCCAGTTTGATTCCCAGTCAGGGCACATGCCTGGGTTGCAGGCCAGGTCACCAGTTGGGAGTATGAGAGAGGCGATTTATTGATGTTTTTCTTGTACGTTGATGTTTCTCTTGCAAATCGATGTTTCTCCCCCTCTCTTTCTCCCTCCCTTCTCTCTGTAAAACTAAGTAAAATCTTTTTTTAAAAAAAGTTCTATCCTATTGCCTGTATGGTAACATATTTAATTGTTTATGTGCTACAGAACTAAAACTTAGATTTGCTAATAATAAACAACACTGGGATGAATATTGAAGCTAGCTAAGGACTAAATTTTAAAGGTGGAATTTCTGAATTTATATGGCTTTATTTTTTGATTTCTGGTAAAATATAATCCTGGTCAAGGCTTTTTTTCTCAAATTCATGGCCTATCTCAGGAAGCAAAGACAGTGTGGCACCTTTGCATTTGCACTATCACTAGTTGGTCTGTGGTCTCTAATAATTGACCCCATTGCCCTTTCCTGCATTTGCGATATCAGGTAACCACTTACAAAATCTTCCATTCCTAACTGGGGTCCCTGCAGTGGTGCCTGAAGCCCAAGTACAGGAAATAAAAAAAAAAAAACTCCCCCAACCCACTTTCATAAATCTATGAAGACATTGGTTCCTACCTTGGTTAGATTATTTTGCTGTATTAGAATTAAAAGTTTTAAAGGCTGTATTCTAATGTGTTATAATTTTTTTCTGCCCTAAAGTTGAGAAGTCTGGCTACTAGAGAACAGAATCAAAAAAATGCTGCCTATAATCTTGGAGTTGCTGAAGCTGTGAGGATCCAGAAGAATGAGAAACCTGAATTTTACGTAAGGGTCTTTTTAGAATTTCTATTGTGAATGCCTGACCCACCCTGTGAATTTTGGGTCCACTCTCTGCTGTCCACAAAAGAATGTCCAGCTTATAGAAAACTTTCCTAAGAGTTTATTAGAGCCAAAATTTTGAGGACATGCTTAGGAGCAAAATCAGAAGGGACTGAGAAAACGCTCTGGAGAATGGCAATCTTGCAGCTTATTTTATACATTAGAATCATAGGACAGAATCATAGGAAGGTTACTTGAAAGCCATTGGGGGTGGTAGATTGGTGGTAGATTAAGGAGGTGGGAGAAAGCACAGCACAGAAATCTCTAGGACTGGTTAAAACGCAAAACTGAGGAACGCATGCTTCTTTAACACTGGTGCAGGATAATAATGAACATTCACAGCACTGAGTTGGTAGGCGGGGAGCAAGGTGACAATGTGGGGTTCGGTGGTCGCGTGCTCTGGTGCCAGTGCTTTCAAGGGGTAAAATTACTCTGAAATTTTGAAGGTATGTTATCCTAGGTGCATAAGAACAATGGACAGAGTTTACTTAAGGTAAACATTGACCGTTGCTAAGGAAGCGTTAGGCCTGGATCCTGACTACCTGCTACCTGACCTGCCCAGTTAGGAGCTTGTGATGAGACCATCCTGCATGGTTACTTTTGATCACCGAATTTGTAAGGCCCGTCATGTGGCTCCTCGGAGCTTGTCATGTTTGGTACATGGTTCCTTTTTCTTTCCCACCACATGGCAGGTTGTGCCGGTTTTTAACTGGCAGAGGTGAAAAGTGGGTTGTGCAAGGCTGAAGCTTCCTTCCTTCTAGGGCAGGAGTGGTCCAGTGTCAGCCTCCACACCACTCACATTCCCAATATAGTTCCTATTAGTCATTACAGTGGTTGCTAATGATAGAAATTCTCAACCAGGAGCTGGGGTGGGGGCGAGGGGTAAGAGCAACATACTAAAGTCCTGCCCAGGAACAGCCGATCTAGAGAGAACCAGAGTCACCTGAGAGCTTGCTGGAGATGCAGAGTCTAGGGTCCCACTCCACACTTCCAGAATGGGAATGTACATTTGAATAAGATACTTAGGTTATCTGTGGGGGCATTAAAGTTTGAGAAACCGAGCTTCAGATTTCTGTGAGCTACCTGGTTTGTCATTGATTTAATGTTTTCGATCATTATGGGCCTACTTTTACTTCTGCCTGAATCATTCTCCTTTCACTCACTATCTAGGTGGTAGTCTGGCACTCTGGCCATAAATCTAACAGAATATACTTTATTTATCATCTAACACTTATTACTGAATTTTTATGTGTTTGTCACTGTACTGGGGGCCAGGAATACGAAGATGAATAAGACAAGTGTCCCTTCTAAAGAGGTCTAGAGAAGGCAGCGGGGAGAGGGGGGCATGCAGATTTAATGAAACAAGAGTGGGGTATACTAAGTGCTATGATTCGCCGTTAAATATAGCAGTAGGTAAGCAAAGAGGAGAGTTACTCAACCCAGACCCGAGACCCGGAAAGACCTTCTGACACACAGGAGTTAGGGAGAGACAGGAACGCGAGAAGAGCTTCCCAGGCAGGGACCGCAGGGAAGGCGGGAGGGGAGCGCTGCGCTTTCGAGAGTGAGGCGTGGTGTCTCTTTACTCTTAGATACAAATTCTGGGCTTATATTTATTACTGCTCACTTAGTATTTCTTCTTTGATGTATCTGTAGACGTCTTAAACTTAAAAAGACCAAAACAGGACTTTTTGATTCCGATTCTCAGCCTGTTCTTCGCTCAGCTTTCCATCTCAGTAAGTGGCATCCCCAGGTGGAGAGTCCCACGCACCGGATTCCAGATTCCTCCTCCTCTGTCCCCCACGTCCCACCTTCTGCGAGTCTGCCTGCCTTTACTCGCAATGTATCTAACATCTCTTCATCTTCGGTGTTACCACCCTAGTCCCAGCCACATTATAAGGCTGAGCTTCTGCAATACCCTCCCTAATCAGCCTGGCGGTTAGCCTTCCACCATTTTCCACACAGCAGCCTTTCAAAATGATTAACCGAAATACATCTAATGGCCTCCCATTGAATTAAAATAAAATTTAAACTTACCTTGACCTATTTGGTCCTACATGATATGGCCCCTGCCACCCTCTTTGGGCTCCTATACTTCTACTTTCCCCTTGCCCACTATACCTCAGCTGCCTCCTTCTGCTATTAAAACATACCTAGCTTATTTTTTACCTAATGTCTTTGCATTTGCTCTTTCTACTGTATGGGACAAAGGTCTCCTGATATCTGCAATGGCAGCGACTCAGTCATCTCCACTGAAAAGCTTTCCCTAATAATCAACCAATTTAATCCTACTCCCACCTAGTCACTTGCTATGATAAGGGCTTCATAGCATTTACCACTGCCTTATATTATTGATTACTTGTTCACTTTCTGCCTCCTGCACCAGAATGCAGGCTCGATGACAGCAAGGTTGGCTATGGGTCTCTGTCCTTGGCCACTATTGAGTCACTGGTGTCTAGAATGGTCAGGCCCAAAGTGAGAGTTCAGTTCTCCCTCTCCCCACCTCTTCTCTGTCCTTGCTCATGTTTTGCATTCACTCAGAACTCCTCCTCCTTTCCACCTCTGTGTTGTATGTACTAGCTCAGGACCTCCTTCATGAAGTCCTCTTTCCCCTCTCTCTCGGACAGTGGGCGTTGGTCAGTGCTGCTCAGATTTAACCTTGAGCATGTTCATATTATTTTGTGGGTTACCTCATTATTAGCTGGTTACTGTGTTGAGGATTTATAAATATTACAAATTAGTAAATACTACCTGATTGATTTTAACCTTCTGAATGATTACCTTTATTCTTTGTTGCTTTTTGGTATTCTAGAATAAATAAATCTCTTCTCTTTCATTCTAGAAATCCTTCCTATTTGATAAACGGCCATTTAGTCCTGAGATTAAGGCTTTAAAGCAAGAGAAATATTTCCAAAGTCTCCTGAAACAAATGGATAATAGACGGGAAAAGGAAATACAACAAAGAGAAAACAAAGAGTTGATGGAACGCCTAGAACAAGTGCAACTCACAGAGGAGTGAGTCTAGCTAGACACGCTCAGGAAAATGGACTGGAATTTTCACGTGAAGCTTATTTTCACGTGGGATTTAATCAGCATTGGTAGTTTCGCACAACTGTAGCCAACTGAGCAAACCAATCCAGCTAGCAGCCAGTACCGCAGCTAAGGTTTCAGTAGGAAAATGAAAAAACCATTATAATTATCTTTGCAGTAATGGTTGCCAACTACAATTACGTTAATTATTATAGAGTCTCATTTTGTATTGTTTTGTCATCACTAATGCTGGAAGGGACTTGTCTTGAGCAGGGCATGATTCTTAGCCATTCCCAGGTGATTTCAAGGCGAAACTGAGGTTTTATGATAAGTAGGTAGGGAGGCCCTGTGGACACCAAGGGCAGGAATGTATGGGAACTAAAAAGCCATGAAATAAAAGCTTTCTCTCTGCTCACACCCACAGCTCCTTAAATGACATTGTCTTTATCTTTATTCCAGCTCAAACGTGGATGTGTTAGTCTTAGTTCTAGATTTTCAGGAAAGAGAATCTGATTTGTCCTGCTTGGGTCTTCTGGGGCCCAGGATAGGATCAGGGCCACAGGGGTCAAACATTGCTAAGGGGCCATGCTCCCGCTACTGAGTTTAGGAGAGCAATTAAGAAGGCTAATCCAGTGTGAGAGAGACTTCTAAACAAATAAAACTAGTTTCTGTGACCAAAAAATTATATGCCTATGAATGCATATGTTCCATTATACCCATTGCATTGATCTTGTGGGTTCCTTGGAGACAAATCATAATGCATAGTAGGAAAGGTCACTTTTCTTTAAAAGGAATCTTAAGATGAATGATTTTATAGAATGAATAGACACTTCCTGTTTTTCTATCTAGATTTTTGGTTTTTTTTTGAAAGCATGGAGGGAAGAAGAGTGCCTGTCTTAGCAGTGCATTTGTATAATATGGTTGGTCACCTGCTTATACCTGTCTTATCTGTCCAGTGCTGTTCAGTGCATTGTCCACTAGCCTATGGATTTGAATTACTCTTTTCTTTCTTAAAATGAAAGCTGCTGGAAGGAAATACCACTTTTTATTTACCAAGCTTTTGTTCCTATTAATACTTATTAGACACGTTTTGATAACGTTAAAATCTGTATTTCTAAAGACTCGGTAACAAACTTTGGCCCATCTTCTTTTATTCTTAACTGTCAGACTTGCTGCACAAAGAGCCAAGTATATACAAGATAAGATGGAAGAAACAGAGTGTTACAAGAGAGCTTTGAGTGCACAGGTAAGGGAACAATTATTAAGTTAAAAATTATGCAGTGCTCCAATAGCATTCTAAAAATACGTACAAATACTGTAATGTGTTATCCATTTGGTGGTTTTGAGGCCCCTGTTCCTTCCTGTAAGGTATTGGTATTTTACTGTGCTCCAGCCTGTGTGTAAAGTTTGTTCCCTGGTATAATTGTAACTGCATTGTGTGTGTGCCTGTTTCAGATAAAGAACAAATTCCCCCAGCTGCCCATCTATGAGCCAGACTCTTCTGAGCCCATCTTTGGTAGGGATGACGATGAGCTGGAGGTGGTAGAAAAGCGGGAGCGGGAGCAGCATTACATGAAGCACCAGCTGGAGGCAGCTGCTTGCCGCAAGAGGAAGGCCATCCTCAGCCAACTGGTGGACCAAAAGCGGGACCTGCAGATGCTTCAGAAGACGAAAAAAGAGTAAGAGACCCCGGGTCAATTTCCCTCCTCCTCCTCGTCCTCCCCTCCACCTTCTCTCCCTTCTTCCATCTTCACTCTTTCTCTTTCTCATACAGCCCCAGAGAAGGAATAATAATAGTGAACACATTGAGGATTTACTATGTGCAGAATATTGTGCTAAGCTTATTATATGCTTCATCTTGTTTCATCCTCATAATTCACCCTATGAAGAAAAGTTATGAGCTTTGAAAAAAACCACTGAAACTCTCTTGGTTCCGTTTCTCTCTCCAGTTACCTCTTTATATTTTCCCTTCCCTTTTCAGTGCAAAATCTTCAAATAGTTGTCCTTTGGAAATACAGTGTGAGGCACAAGTGTGCGGTTGTGCTCAAGTCGACACGGATGTGAAACTCGGGCCCTTTCTCAGCCTGCACTAAACCCCCTTCCTTCAGAGAGCTGGGCACGTAGTAAGCTGTATGGAAGATTGCTGGGGCGGGGGGCGTGTGGTGAAGGCGACAGGTAGGCAGAGGAGGACTTCGTGCCATACCAATGCAAGTACTTTCAAATTCAATCACCAGGCACCTAGTTTCTTAAAAGGCCTAATTAGGCACCCCGCCAATGGGGATTTTATAAAATTATTAAAGTACTCAGAGTTTCAAAAGAGCTTTTCTTCAAATGAATGTTCTCTTTTTAGAAGGCAGTTGTACTTAGAGAAAAAAAGTTATTTTATTAAAATTTTATAAATGGTCAGTGGGATGGTGCAAAGGCCTGTTATGTTCTATACGATGTAGGCTCAGACACGAAACGTAAGTGGAACCGTAGATGGAAGACGGAGTACATGGTGATAGGGTGGGGGGTTGTGTTAGTTGAGGGAGCTAAGAGTAATTAAATGTATGGCTTTTAGCGTCAAGTCAGGGTGGGATATCTGCCCAGGGCAATACATATTTGTATGTCTGTACTATTTCTTAAAATACTGAAATATTTTTATACTTCTTAAAAAAGAGCTGTTGCCTCAAGCACCACAAGTGCCCTTCGTTGCTGCCCAGGCTGCCCCAACCCCTCCCTGGGGCCCCCTCCCCCACCGCCACCTGATCTTCCCCCGCCTGGATGCATACCTGGAGTCTCCAGGACCACTTCCAGCATCCGTGCTGGTTGATTGGTGTAGTTCTGCCATTTCACTAGCAGGATATCGGGCATGTTACACACCTGTGAGGCCATTGGTTTCCTTATCAGTTGTTCAGGATTATACAAATATCTACCTCCAGGGTGTTTGAGGGTTAAGTGAAATAATTCTTGTAAATAGCTTCTGTTCTACAGCTAACAGCCTTCTCTCGTGTCCGTCCGTCCCATGGTGGCTCTTCTTCCCATGCCTGCTGTCGCAGCCTGTTCCAGCGCCCTTTGCGTTTTGTTGCGAGGTTACTGCAGCTGCCTCCTCTGCTTCTAGCCCTTGGCTTCTCTAGTTAGTCTCCTAAACTTGGAGATAGGAGGGTAAACCCTCTCACTCGGACACCGTAGGATCTGAGCCCAACCACACACGAGATCTTTGAGCCCTCTTTTCCTCATACGAAAAGTAAGGATAATCACCCCTGCCCTACCTATCCTTACTATGAGAATTCAATGAGATTATGGATGTGTGAGCATTTTCGGAAACTTCAAAGCTCTGAACAAATACAAACTGTGGTCTTTATTTGGTTACCTCTGTGACCACAGCTAGTTAGACTTTGTTTTCTGTATGGGCCAGAGCCTTGTTTTCCAGTTCTATATCCTTTATTATTTATTCCAGATTCTCCCTCTTCTCTCGTCTTTTCTAACTCCCTGCCCTCTGGTCCTTCTCAAGGTATGCTCTTAGGTCTTTCTACGACAAAAAAAAGGTCATTTTCTTTCAGAGTGTGTAACTTAGTCTGCGTAATCAGGCCTGTTATTTTTACTTGTTTTATTGTTTTTAAAAGAACTTTTCTGTTTTTGTTTAAAAATATAACGACTCATGCTAATTAAAATGTCAATTGGTCAAGACAGTAAAAAACAGATTAAATAATTTCCCTTGTCCAAGTGTTGTCAGTGTTAAGGTTAATATGTAAACTTTTATACTTTTCCCTATTCTTACAAATATATTAAAATAATATGCACATATATTTCCCCTCCAGTTTTGTAAATGAAAATGAGACCTATGAGCTCTCTTATACATTACAACCAACCTTTCTTTAATCTTATAATGTATCATTAATTTATATTTATGTCAGTGCATATATATAAAATTCATTCTTCTAATTTAATAGAATAATATCAATAATATAAATTACTATAAATTAACTTTTGTGCTATTAATAAACATTTTGTTTCCAGATATTTTGTTGTAACAATTTTTTTTATTAAACATTTTAAATATATACTTGTTTTTTATACACACACACACACACACACACACACACACATGTTTTGCTTTCTATTGGATGAATTCCTGAAAGTGGGATTGCTAGATCAATCCTATAAGAAGATTTTAAATATTACCAGATACTGACTGTTTGCTTTCTAAAAAGGAATAGCAATTTGCTTCCACCAGCAGTTTTGTGAGAATACTAGTTGTCTCCCCGCTCACCCTACTTCATTTTCTTACTTTCTAGGCATTTAAATTAAATTGACTTTTTAACCTCCCTTTTCAAAGATAGTATAATATTGGCCAGAAAGCAAATGAAAAGATATTCAACATTATTAATCATTAGGGAAATGCAAATCAAAACCACAATGAGATATCTGCTCATTGACAAATGGTTTCCACGTTCTGTGAAATGTCTGTAGTGAGTCTTATTCAGCCATCAGCTGTCATCATTTGCTCTGTTTGAAACAGAGGTCATTTAGCATTTAACTACATTTCTGCCTTTCCCAAATAAGAGATATTTCATATTTTATTGAATGTTTAACTTATGAGAACCTAATATACAGCAATTTTCCACTCCAGTGATTAAAGATGGCAGGGTAAAGATGGCAGGGTAAAGATGGCAGAAATTTAAAACATGTGTTTTATATTATACAATTTAAAAATTTAGTTTTGATCATATATATATCCTGGAGTGTCAACTCTATGGTGGTCTGAATGGAATAAGCAGTTAGCAAATTGTTCGTGTTTTCCCCTGCAACTCACTTATGTAGATTTATGATAAAGTCTTTTGCTTTTTAAGATATATATGTATATCAATGTAATGTGAACATATAAGGCTTATGAAAAGAAAACATTTATACATTTGCTAAACAGTATAATAATTTTTCACAAATACAAAAATAAAATATGCCACTCTTTATCTTGAATAATATATGTGATTTGATTGCCTTATTAAATATACAAATCAAGAACAATTATAGATTTTTTTTAAACCACACACACAATGAAACACTTAAGTACTTCTTAAATTATTCAAAAGATGAGAGAGAAAGAAATAAAATTATCTGTTTAGTGGTAGACAAAATCATTAAAATGCAAGTATGATGTAAAGAAGAAAAATAAAGAAAACTAAGACAAAGGGGGAGATATATATATATAGAGAGAGAGAGAGAAAGAGAGAGAGAGAGAGCTTCTATCTCACACCCATTAGGATGGCTACTATGAAAAAAAGCAGTAAATAGTAAGTGTTGGCAAGGGTGTGGAAAAATTGAAACTTGTTGCACTGTTGTGGGAATTTAAAATTCCCATCAACCATCATGGAGAACAGTTTGATGGTTCCTCAAGAAATTAAAAATAGAATTGCAATATGATTTAATAATTTTACTTCTGGATGTACATTCAGAAAAATTGAAAGCAGGATCTTAAAGAGATATTTGCACACTCATGTTCGTATTGGCATTAATTATTCACAATAGCTGAGCAATGGGAGCAACCCAAATGTTCAACCACAGATGACTAGATAAACAAAATGTGGTATACACATACAATGGAATATTATTCAGCCTTAAAAAAGAAGGAAATTCTGACACATGCTAACATATGGATGACACTTTAGGACATAATGGCTAAGTTACAAAAAGACAAATACTATGTGCTTTCACTTATATATAGTATTTAGAGTAGTCAGATTCATGGAAACAAAGTAGAATTGTGATATCCAGGGGCCAGCAGGAGGGAGAAATGGGGAGTTGTTTAGTGAGTATAGAGTTTCATTTTTACAAGGTGAAAAGAGTTCTGGATATTGGTTGCACAATGATGTTAATACAATTAACACCATATATCGGCACACGTAGAGGTGGTTGAGATGCTCAATTTTATGTTATATGTTTTTAACTACAATTGAACTATGAAAAATAAAAGGTTATAATAAGTACCATTCAGTCATTGAGCTCCCATTGTGTGAAGGCATTGGTACTTTCTGTATATTATTTCATTTAATCTTTATAATGACTGCTGAACTATGCTTGTTAGAGGAAAACGTGGCCATGCTGCTAGGAAAAGTGAACCAGCACAGAGCACATTATTGATTTTTACTGGAGGGTCCTGACACCTCATGGTGGTTGCTCCCTGGAACACAAAGTCCTTCAGAGCAGGCTAAATTGAGGGTCACAAAGAGCGAAGACCCTTCAAGACTTTATTAAGAACTAATGGTAAGAGTTTCAGTTTGGCAAGAAATAGGCCCACATAAATAATTTGAATCAGGTTTCAGGTGATTCACAACAGCAATGACTTACACCTTTGGAGACCAGTAATAGAAGCACTTAACATTGGAAATACTGAACCATTGTACTTGAAGAGATATTATACAGTAGTCACTCCTTTGAAGATATGACCTTCATCCCCCTTGTTTTTTGTTTTACCATGTTTACAATGTTAGATATTTTCTCAATTCCACTTTCTTTTGCCCGGTCACTTATGTTTCTTGTTTCTCTTGTACACCTGTCTACTTTGTCTTGTAAGATGCCTATAGCAACTGGTAGGCTGATTACTGACAGCTGAGAGGTTTGAATAAGCAGTAAAAAACACAAAGTGTCAGAAATCCATTTGAGATGATTCTTCAGAGCAGTTAAATTAGCCTCAAAGGAAATTAATAGCTTAAAAGGTTGAATTTGCTAATTGGAAAAAGGTTTCATTCTTGCTATCTTAAACCAGGATTAAAGATGAAAGATCTTCATATATTATTTGAGAGCTGTGTTCATGCCTGTTAGTACATTTCAAAGAGTAGCAAACAAAACCAGAAGGTTTTTGTTTAATTTCCCATGAAAGGAGCGGGGGCTCCCAAGCTTGGTGCATGCCCTTCCCAGTGTTGTGAATGGAACCTGACTATTCTGTTCTCCCCAGGCACCTGGCAGACAGAAATGCAGAGATGGAGCGAGTGAACAGAATGAACCAAAACTTGCAGGAGGACTGGGAGCGGAGTGCTGAAATGAAGAGGCAGCGGGACCTGGAGGAGAAGGCTTTCGAGCGGTAATACCTGATCGGATCCAGAGGTTCTTTGTTTGCAAAGAAAATCCCCTCTGCTCCTTGTTTACTTTCCTCTAATAATGGGGGGGCAAATGGGCTTCGAGTGCCACCTCCAGTTGATTAGTAGTGGCTGCTTACAGGACTTCATGGAGAAAATAATTCTAGGTTCAGTGGGAAAAACTGCTCTGATCTTTGTTATGAATATGGGATTGAAGAATATTGTGTGGTATTTTATATAGTTGCCATCTCTGTCCTAATCTTGCCTCTGCATAAGGCGGCTTTATTTTCTTTTTTGTGGACAGTGGGGAGGCATTGGGGGAGGAGGAAAGGAATTCCCTTTGGCAATAACTAGGTGAAGATAGGGAGACTGAGTTTCCATCTGAACACACCCAAGGCTTACAGAGTGCTCGTTTAAGAGCAGAGGCAAGGGGCTGGGTGAGGTTGGCGACTGCAACGGTGAGAAACCCATTATGGCACCAACCATAAACATCTTTCTGTAGCGTATTATTCCATCCCTGTTCCCTCTCCACAGCTGCCTTTTTGCAATCTAGAGTCAGGGAATCTACTGACAGCTTTGAAAATGAACACTAACTTTGGCGAGGCAGCTAAGACTTTCTTATTTGTAAGATAGGGAAAGTAAACACTTGTCTGACTTCTAACACAGGAGTTTGGGGGATCAAATAAGGAGATAGAAAAGTACTACTCTTAAAAAAGTGGAACTACTTTGCCAATGTAAGGTATGAGTTCATAGACTGTTAAAAACTTGAAAAAACAGGCCAAGCCTGTGCAATCAAATGTTAGAAATACCTGAATATATACCAAAATAAGATCTTAATTCTTAACTAATTTCTATCACAGGTAAAATTTCTTATGATGGATGTTGATCTGTAACTCTCCCTTTCCTTTTGGATTTTTTAAGGCATTTTTTGGATGTCTTTGTAATGGGTAGAGTCCGTATTTTGGGACAAGGAGAGTAAGTTCCAAAGGGAAAGTGGGATTGTGTGGTGGTTTGAAAGAGGACGGGAAAGGGGAGTTGGAGATTTCAAGCCCTTTTCTCCGTGTTGGGGGAAAGCAGGTAAAAGACAGTGAGATCAGTGACAGGAGGATCTTGGATTTTGGAAGAGTGTCCGGCCAACATGGAGACCAAGGATAGAGGCGGCCGGAAGTAACCTTGCAGGGCAGGATAACGCAGCTGCTCCAACGACATGGCAGAGCAGGCCTGTTCCCTGAGGACCTAGGCCGAGTTGTGGGCAGGGACTCCAGCAGGCGGCAGGCAGGAAGAAGGAATTGGTTGGTTTTAAAGAGAAAGCAAAGCAAAAAACACAAGGTTCAGAAGTCTGCAGTTAGCGCATGATACTCCATACTGTTGCCAAGGTGAGCCAGGCAGGTCTTCCCCTGCTTATTGCCAAGATAGTTCTTTTTCATTTGAAGGTTATCTTTGATGCTGCTTTCTACAGAATTCCACCCATGTGGAAATTTTGTTGGGGTAGGGGAATGTACCAGGCACTGTCCTGCCTAATCAAGAAAAATTATTGGAGTGGAAAATCCGTCGCTTCCACCCCTTCCTCTCTGTTTCGAGCCTCTCTTGTTCTCTCCCTCTTTGTCTCCATTCCCTTCGCCTGCTCAACTCTCCAGAGGCCTCTTGCCTCCTGTGACTTTTAGTGAACTCTTAACTGTCTGCTGGGTGTTAACTGTTAACCAGCACTTTAACGGCCTGATCTCCCTCTCAAACTGTCTCCCGGGAGCCTGTCAGGTAAAGGTGCACCTACATGGCAAAGCAGCAAACACAGAGGCTTGGGAGCTTGGCTCTGTGACCTTGAGCGAGTTATGTGTTCTCTGAGGCTTTCGGTGGCTGTGGCTGGGGAGGAGGGGTGGGTCAGTACTGTGAAGGCATCAGGTTCAAACCCTTAATTCACTGGGGAATGAGGAGGCACCAGAGGTTTGGAAGCTGGAGATGCCAGGCTAGGGTGAGCTTCAGGTAGCGGCATGGAGGAGGAGAGACCGCAGGTAGAAGATGACATGCGGGTGGTAGGTTCCCAGAGGGTAGGGTCCAGGGGTCACTTTCCTTTTGTGTCCCTTCCACCGCGCCGGCTTCCTAGCGAGGTCCCCAGCATGAATGCAGGAACCGCCTGCTAACGGCTGCTTCTGCTCACCTTTCCTCAGGGCCTCAGACAAGCTCTTCCTCCTGGACCAGTGTGAGAGGTATCCGCGCTGCAGGCAGTGCCAGCGCTGCACCTCCAACGTGGGCAACAGCAACCTGTGGCTGCTGAACAAGCACCTGCGTGGCTCCCGGTTGTTTGTGTAAAACCCAAAGTTTGGACCTGTGATTCCTGGCAGAAGATTTTATGTTTTTAATGTTTGAAAGAATATGTTGTGTGGTTTTGGTGCCTTTGGGAGTAGCTTGCTTTTAACTGCTTATTGAAGTCACGTAGACGGGTCTCCTCTTCTGTCTTCCTCCCAACACCATGGAGCCCCGCTGCCACCGGAGCTGGGAATGGGACCCAGCCTCATTCCGGCCGGCCGGCCGTGGCGGTGCTGCTCATCCAGCCCTGCCACTCCCCTGTGACTGTGTAAACAACAGTATCCTTTCTTCATCTGTAATGAATAATGTCATAATAAATTTTTTATACCTGCCTGCCTGTGTATCACAATTCATACTGATACTTTTTACCATCCCTCCTCCCAGCTCTAGATTTTTCCAGAGGACTGGGTGTGTGTGAATATCCCAGAGGGAGGTTAGGCTATATAGACTCCTCAGGTGATCAGAGGATGCTTCCTGAGTTTCCTGGTTGATGACACCTGGGACTTTGTTCCGACTTCGGGGGCCAATGTTCCCTTTTACCTTCTGGGGAGCACGCCACTGTTCAGTGATTTCCGCACACAGATGTAGGGTTACTGCTGGGATAAGTGTGTGCTGCGAGGGGAGTCTGGCTGGCCCGCCCGGTGCCACCGCCTCTCCTGGCTTCACTTGTACCCTTTCTTAAACTGTATCCGCTGGGGGAGAGGGCTCTATTCCCATCGAAGGACTGATTTTCAGGGAAGGCATGGGTGTTGATAAAAAAATTTTTTTCAAAAAACGTTTTTATCTTCACTCTTTAGCTTTCCTCTCTCTGCCCTGTCCTAACCACCTCAGGTAAAACAATGAACAAAGTAGAGCCAGAGTATAGGTTTCTGACATACAAAAGTCAGGAAGGCCCTTTGAGTGTTTACTTCCTGTCTGCCACACCTTGCTTAGAAAATGGGAAAGTGTATGTGGGGAGACTTCTGAAACATTGTTTTTCTTACTCAAGTACACAATAGGAATATTTTGAGCCCCAAACAGTTCCGCGGGAAAGTGTTCACTCAAATTGATGTTGGACACAGTTCGTTGCTAATGTTGTCTTTTTCTATATATCAGTAAGCATGCTGCCGATGACTGGAATTGTCTGGACCCTTTCCCTCCAAGCTTCCAGCTCTGCCACTTCCTTCCATTTCCTCAGAAGATCGCTCCATGCAGATCCAATCGTCACCAACCAATATTCAAAACAAGAGCCTTTCCCGGGGACGCCCTAACTTGCCTGGGGTCCCTATCTGCTGCGTCACTGGAATATTTCTTTGTCTCTCATATATAATAAATGACTGAAAGTGTTGCATTAATTTTTTAAAAATAGACCTTATTAAAGAAAAAAGGCTTCAGGCAATTTTGATATGTTTAGGTGAAAAGATGTAACTTCATAGATATTTTTTACTGGAAGAACGGTGCTTACAATTTATCATCATTGGTAGTGTTGCCGACTCTTCATGTGTGCCTAACACCGAGCTGATCGGTGACCTGGAGATGAAGGTGTCACCAGTCCCCGCCTGCCTTCCGAGCACTTACTGTGTAGTGTGGAGCTGAGAAGTGACGAGGAGATCTCCATTTAACAAGGTAAACCCCTAAGAGCACCGTGCATTTGATATTACGGAACAGCAAAATGGAGCTCTTGTAGTCAGTTTTGCCTGGCATGGAGAGGGAAGGCTTTTGGAGGAGGTGAGGCCTACCCCAAATTTTTGAGGATAGGAAATAGGAACTAGGCGAAGAGTAATAAGGGATCATGGCAAGGGATGTCAAGGCCCTGTGCTTCTCCCTGTCAAGGCTAAGATGGAGACCTGGTTATGTGAGTGAGGTTATGAAACGTAATACGGTTTTTACCGTTGAACCATTTTGAGAGTCAAACTTTATTATAGTCCTTCATTAAAATAGCTGATTTCATACAATAAAGAATGAACTTTTTTTTTTTAAACAGGGTTTCATAACTTGGTATCTCCTTCCCTGATCTTAACTGATACCTGCTAATTTTGTATTAGGCCAGACTCAAATTAGAATGTCTTTTTTCTAAATTGGTTTGAATTATCATCAGGTTCTGTCATTTCCGGAACTATGGCCCTGCAGGCCAGCTTAAAGTGTCAACAGGTTTCCTATTTCAGTGGCTTTTAATGTTTTGGAAAGTCCTGGGCTCTTTTGAGAATCTGATGAAAAAATAGGAGCCCTTTCTAAAATAGGTGCCTCTTTGTATAGAACATTTTGCATGCGATTCAAAGTTTCCTAGGCCACCTGAACCACAGGTTAAGAACGCCTGCTTTAGAGAGCTTGCTTTCACTCTATGACAAGCCTAAGCTATCGAAAGTGAGCAAAGGGAATGACTTGGCTTTTGAAAATGCCCTTTCAGTTCTAGAGGACTATGTTCCTTTTGTCTTCCTCTTTGAATCCTCAGAAGGGTAGTTTGATGAGAGTAGGAATGGCTATTTGAAAGCACATACTCCAGTATTTTTCAAACTTTTTAAAGCTCAGTAAAATACATTTAATATTGCAACATAAAACCCATGCCCACACATATAATTGAGACAAAAATTTTACAGTTATACTTACCCCAGCCATCTGCAATGCATTCTGATATTATCTATTTTATTTTATTTCATTAAAAAGTTGAGATTAGACTGAATAAACTTGATTTAATAATCCACAAATGTAAATAGGCAATCTTTAGTTTTATAAACACAGATTTAACTTAATTTTCCCCTCTGCTATGCTCTCCTTTGTAGTTTGCTGGAATTCATTAGTAGTTAACATTGTTTTGTAATGGTCTTCAGCTAGGGGACTGATGGATGGATGAGTAGGTCCCTGCCTTGCTATAACCAGACCTCCTCCTTTTGAGGTACCCCAGGGAAAGCAGGAGCTATTTGCTCCAGCTCCCAAAGCTGAGTCCCAGAACTTCTACTTCCAGTACATATGAGGACCAGACAGAAAGGAGCCAGAGATAGAAAAAGTGAAAACGTGCCCGAATGCCTAGACTACAGGCTGGGAGAAGCCTGAGAAATCCAAAGAAGAAATGCTAACTAGGTGCAGCCTATGTCTTAACTGACTTGTTTGTGGGAAGAAGAGGGAGAGGTGGATTACACCCAGGGCTGCTTGAACAATGTGCATGTTGGCTCTGTACAAAGGCTCTCAGCTCCCAGTTTCCTATTGTTTAACAAATTAACACAAACCTCGTTGCTTAAAACGACAAATTTATTCTCTTACATTTCTGGAGGCCAGAAATCTGAAGTTTCAGAAATCTTAAAATTTCACTGGGCTAAAGTTAAGGTGTTGACAGGGTCAATTTCTTCTGAAGCCTCTGAGGGAAGAATCCTTTTCTTTGCCTTTCCCGGCTTCTAGAACCATTGTTTACATTCCTTGACTCCTGGCCCTTTCCTCCACCTTAAAGCCAGCAGTGTAGCATCTTCACTTTCTGCTTCTGTTGTTACTCTGACTTCTCTCCTACTCTAGTCAAATCTACTCTGTCTCTCTTTTATAAAATCAGTTGTGATTTCCGTTAAAGGGCCCCTGGATCCTCCAGGATAATTTTCCCATCTTGAGATCCTTAATCATGTTTGCAGAATGCTATTTACCATATGAGATAACATCTGCAGGTTCCAGGCATTAGGATCTGAATCATAATTCAGCTACCACAGGGTGAATGGGATCTAAAATTCAGCCCCAGCTCCACTCCACTCATCAAGCCCTTCATCAGAGGGCGTGTAGTAAGAGGCCTGAAGCTGCCGGCATTCTTTGGATCTTAGCTGCATAGATGTATCTAAGGACCTTTGTGTGTGTTGGAAGGCAGGGGGAGTGGAGTGGGTTTAGTTGGGTTTGGTTTTGCAGAACTATGGAGGGATATGAGGTGGATAAAGGAGGACATTTGACAATTCAAGTATTAAAGGTTTGCTATAGTTTTCTTACAATGTCCTTGTCATGTTTTGTAGTATTTTTTTTTTTGTGGAGTCTTCATCAAGTTTTGATATCAATAATGATGACCTCATAAAATGAGTTGGGAAATGTTCCCTTTTCTTCCATTTTTTGGAAGAGATTGTGTAGAATATGTATTATTTTTTTTCTTGAATTCTTGGTAGAATTCACTGATGAAACCATCCAGGCCTAGAGTCCTCTTGGTTGGGAGGTTTTAAGGATGAAATCAATTTTTGTATGTTACAGCAAAGAATTTCAACTACTGTTGAATTTATGGGACTGCAGTTGTTAGTAGTTATTTCCTTTTTATCCTTTTAATATCTGTGGGGTCATAGTGGAATTGCCTTTTTGATTCTTAATGTTAGCAATTTTTGTCTCCTATTTTTCTTGGGTCTGGCTAGAAGTTTAAAAAAATGTATTGGTCTTTTCAAAGAACCAGCTGTTGTTTTTTTCCTCAATGTGATTGATTTCTGTTCTTTATTATTTTCTTTCTTTTGCTTGCTCAGAGTTTCTGCCTGTGTCCTAATTTCCTTCTTTTATAAGGACACCATTTATATTGGGTTAAGGCCTACCCTATGACCTCATTTTAATTTCATTACCTCTTTAGAGACCTATAGTCACATTTTCAGGTGTTGGGGGTTTGGACTTCAACACATGAACTTTGAGGGGCTACAATTTAGCCCATAACAGTGGCAACAGAATCATTTTTAGTATACATTTATCTGAGAGTGTTTTTATTTTGTCTTTATTCCTGAAGGGCATTTTTATTGGAAAAAGCCTTCCGAATGGGCAGTTCTTTTCTTTCAGCACTGTAGAGGTATTATTCTGTTGTTTTTGGTTCCATGGTTTCTGTTTTGTTTTCATTTTATTTTTTTGGTTTCATGGTTGCTGATGAAAAATTCAGTCATTTGAATCTTTGTGTCCCTATATGTAATGCGTTGTTTTTATTTGGCAGCTTTCAAGATTGCATTCTTTATTTTTGGCTTTCAGGAGTTTGATTGTGATATAACTTTAATGTGGGCTTGTTTTGATTTATTATTTTTAGGGCTTACTGGATTTCT